AATGGCTAATATTCTAGTAATATGCATGCTAATAAGCAACTAGTTAAGAGACTCTAAAATAAAGTGTTACCGGTCAAACAAAATACTATATGAGCTATTGTAATCCTGTTATCAAATACAGTTTAAACTTTTCCATAAATAGAGAACATGAAAAAAACCTCAATATTAAATATTTCAGTCACATGATCCTTCAGAAATCATTCTAATATTCTGATTTGACACATTATTTTAGGATGATATATATAATTTTGATATATAATTCCAAATAATTTTTTAGCATTTATTTGAATGTGTTTAAATTTATTTGAAATGTAAATCTTTTAGTATATTCTGGGTTCTAAACATTTTACTTTAAAAAACTGGACACATTTGCTTTATTTATTTATTTATTTAGTGATTCTGTTAAAATAGACTGTGAGCTAGAGAAAAGACTGATTTGTGCTTCTGAAGGTGCGTGGGAGGGAATGCTACCGCTGATTAAAACTGCAACGGCCACTCAGCAAAACATTAAAAATTCCAGCACTGAATCATCATTCATTATAACACACATGAATAAATAAAACAAACTCCAGCTCAACAATTAGAGACACTTATTCTGTATTCGACACATCCCTGCTGAGACGACTGTCAAAAATGGCCCAATTTAGACTAGATTTAAGATCAAGTGAATAACTATGACTGCACAGTACAACACTTACATAAGATAAAGCACAAGAGACTTTCTATTTTTCTCAAACCAGTAGTTCTATCTTTTTATAGCTTAACAGCATTAGCACAGTAAAGCAGACATACCTGAGAGCACTGTGTATTTGAGGGCCTCCTGAGCCACAACACTAACAAGCCCATCCCATAATGAGTCCAGAATAGAGCCCAGGTCCAATAAATAACGCGACTCCCATTTCAGACAGTACTGCTCGCCACACGCTCCTAGACTGGACCAGGGAGCCTGAAACGAACCTATGATGGGCAAGTCGATCTGAACCTTAGTGTCAACAATATTTCATGGGTACTTTGGGCTTATTATAGTAAAGGAATAGTTCACCCTAAAAATTACATTTGCTCAATACGTACTCACCCTCAGGCCATCCAAAATGTAGATGAGTTTGTTTCTTCATCAGAAGAACAGATTTGGAGAAATTTAGCATTACATCACCTGTTCACAAGCAACAGTTTTAAGTTAAAATGTCTTGATGGTTTGTTTCTTACAAACACGCAGCTTTTCACTTCACAAGACATTAACTGATTGACTGGAGTGGTGTGGATTTTTGTGATGTTTTTATCAGCTGTTTGGACTCTCATTCTGATGGCACCAATTCACTGCAGAGGATCCACTGGTGAGCTTGTGATGTAATGCTACATTTCTCCAAATCTGTTCTGATGAAGAAACAAACTCATCTACATCTTGGATGGCCTGAGAGTGAGGGCATATTCAGCAAATGTTTATTTCTGGGTGAACTATTCCTTTAATAAATAATAAACAATATATTTGTTTTAGAAGTAACATAATAGTAAACATAACAATACACATAACTGCAACTGAAAAGTGCTATTTTGATGGTTAACTGTGGCACTCACTGTATTTGCCGCTGCACAGCCAGCCTGTCACGGCTATAGTGAGATGAAGATGCTTTCCAGAACTCATCGGAAGAAACTCAAACTCCTCTATAGCGCCGACACGCTTGTTCATTTTATAGCCTGTGTAAAATGAGTAAATATACCTTCAGGTATCCTCATACATATAAACTAAGTGAACATAAACATAGAGAGGAAACGGAAAACTTGAGCTGCAAACAGAAATGAAGAGAGGCAGACGCACAGATAAACTGCATTTGAAGAAACACCAAGCATCTCCAATAACCTTGAGCTCAATTCACTGTGAATGGCAGCTGACGATGTGCTCTGAAAGCAGGCTTATAGAAAATTCTACTCAAACCAGAAAACGGACTGTAACTTTATCATCATTGTCAGTCTGCTGATTCATCTGCACACCTATCAATCCTGTAACGCAGTCTAGTGATTCAACAAGAATCATGCAAGAAATTATATAAATCACTTGCCCTCCAGGAAGAACAGAACCTTACATAGCAACACTGCATTAAAGTTGTGTAAATGCAATAGATAAATAATGCAATAAGCCATGAGAGGCTTATAGTAATTTTACCATGAACACAAATGATAAAGTACACCAAAGTTCAATAAATAATTCATTTGATAATAACAGACTTATTATTATACATTTTTTTCCGCAATATAATATTTATTATTGTTATAATTTTTTTATTATCAGTAGTGCTGTCAAATCGACTGTGTATCGAGTGTGCTGTGTATTTTTATATGTATATATAAATACACACACATACATGTATAAATGTAAAAAATATTTACATGTGTATATATTCATAATTATGTATGATTTACATTATATATAAATATATATATTTCATTTTATTCTTAAATATATACACGTATGTGTGTGTATTTATATATACATATAAATATACACAGCACACACACATATATATGTAAACACAAATTACGCGATTAATCGATTTGACAGCACTAATTATCAGCATAAACAAGCTTCAAATAGGTCAGCTAGCTCACCTGTTAACCCGGCCCCTGCGGCTCCAAACAAGGAAGCCATGATGGCGATGCCCGTGGCTGATCCCAGCACAGCGGCTCCACCCGCTCCTAGCACCGCTCCTGCCCCAGCAGCCACCAGAGGAGCTGCCAACCCTCCTGTAACACCTGATAAAAACACATGCATTATCATGAAACTAAATCTCATCACACCAGTGCTGGACATGCTCTAGTCATATTTCACCTCAAAATTAACAGAAAGAACTAAGAGATCAAACATTTTAAGTAAGTAATTTAATCATCTAAAATATTAATGTAAATAAAAAAACAATACAAATAAAATAATTGTTTAGCTTAAAGGTTTTTATTAAAATTAAGCATATTTCCCTTCAAATTATCATAATCATATCATAAACACAAAAATTCTTCAAAATTATTTAAATTGTGAATTATTTATATATCATGGTAGTATTTGCTGTATTTGAATTAATTCATTAATTTAACCTATGAATGAATATTGTTTTAATATAAACAAACAAATATCACAAATAAAACATCTGGATGCATTACAGTAATGAAAGTTTTTAAATATAAATATATATATATAATTTTAATTTAAATAAATAAATAAATAATAATAATAAAATCACAATTGAAACATCCTGATGCATTACAGTAATGAAATGTTTAAAATATAAATAATAAATATATATTTAATTAAAATAATACTAATAATAATATTAATAATAACAGTCACAAATAAAATATTATCTTACAGTACACTTTATGGTAGTTAAATTGTTTAAATAAACATTATGGTAGTTAAATTGCTTAAATATAAATTAAATACATATTTATTATAAATAAATAAATAAATAAAACATCCAAATGCATTCAAGTAACGAAAATGTGGTTTTCAATGTCCTAAAAAAAATACAAATCTTAAAAAAAAAGCATGAAAGGTTTCATTTTCTTAAATGAATTTTTACAAATAAACAAACAAACAAATAGGCTTTATTAATGTTCTCATGAACTTTTCACTGACATTCACCTTGGTGAGACCAATGTAGTTTAAAACAAACGTCCAGTGGCATTTCGACTCACCAATTACTGTTCCTCCACCCACAGTGGCAAGTCCGATGAGCAGGTACCGGCGCAATTTACGACCTCTCTCTTTCTTCTGCCTTCTTGATGACTCTTCTCTGTTGAGAGAATGTCAATTTGATTCATAACATGCTCACTGGAGCTGCTGAAAGCTCAGAGGTCTTGTTCATTGTCAACTGAATTCTATTAGAAACTAAAACTAACATGAAAGCGCTGAACTGAAAGGAAATCTTTGACTGCATATACACAAAACACTCACGGATGTGCACGGTCCACATCACATGCAGAAGAGAACACATTAACAGACAGAAATCAGCAAACAGATTCAGGTTTGTTCCTCATGTCAAAATTTTGACAGCACTTTCACTGTTTCACAATGATATTGATTGTGCCCCTGTATTGACTTTTCTTTGTGAATCTGCAGATGGCTCTACGTGGGCTTTGTGGAAATAATCTCTTGTAAATTATCCATCCTACAGCGAAACCAGTGTGTGTTTTACATGTTGATACCCCCCCCCCAAAATCCCATAAAGGAGTTTCACTCACTCGCTCTCCTCTCCTGACTCTCTCAATTTCTCTCCGAGAGTCTCTTCGAAATCCTCCAGCTGCTGTTGGGTCACACGCAGCAGACAGCTGACATGTCGGATCAGAACTCGAGCCCTGGCATCATAATGTCCTACATCAAAAAATGGTTATTACATGGAAAACAAGATTGGAGGAAGAATAATCAATCTCACAGAAAAATGTCTAGTTCATACTTTACCATAAAAAATCTAAAGAAAAAACAATCTTGCATACAGAAAACAAAGACTTTTAGAAGCATTTCGTCAACTCTATTTTTATAGCTCTTTATACAATAGAGATCATTTCAAAGAAGCTTAACAGTATTAAATAGGAAAGTAACAGAGTCAAACTTCAAATATGAGGCAAATCCCAATTTTTATTTTTAATATAAATGAATCAAATTAATAAAAATAACAATTACAGTAATTACAATTTTTTTTTTGTAAATAAATATATTTAATTAAAATAAATAAAACCCAGACAAATTATGGTATTGGACATTTGGGGGACAATTTTAAAAAAGCCTGAAAAGCTTTTTTTTTTATAAACAGTTTTTAAAAAATATAATAAATAAATAAACCTCTTAAAAATAAGCTTTATTTTCTTTATGCATGTTTTCACAGACTTTTCATTGACATTCTGGACCAATGTAGATTAAAACACAGTTAAGATGTTTTGTACATTATTAAAAGTAAAATGCAATGTAATTTTTTCACATAAATAATAAATAGTATAAATTAACATAGTAGAATAAATAATATTGTAATGTATATTTTTTTATTTAAATAATTTAAAATAATGAATTTCATGTTTTCTTTTCATTGCAGTAACAAGCATTGGGATGTGAATTTGCTTAATTGTTTAGAAATTAAATTGACAATGCAAAATATGTTAACAGTATTCATTTTCTTCATGCAAAATATAATATAAAATGGACATTTCTTTGTGAGATTCAATTGTATTACTTATTATTTTAAATAATAAATTGTTTATTTTTATGCACGCCATTGAAAAAAAGACCAGCTAATTAATCGTGAAACATCAGCTCACCATCTCTGACTGAGAATGACACAAGATCCTGAAAAACAAAACAGAACGTCACAAACACGAGCATCTATATGTTAATGCAGTCGCCCAGCTGGGTTAATGTCAGACGCGTACCTGAGTGATGAGTAAAGCTCCGGCTCTGAGCAGCGGCTCTGCATGCAAGATGGACAGGAAGGTGTCAGTGCCTTCGAACCCGAGCCCTGCCAGGAACGCTTGCATAACCGTCATGACCGACTCATCAAGATCCAGCCACTGAACAAGACCCTGCAGATACATCTCACGAAAACATCTGCATTGGGAAAACATCACAGTGAAGTTTCACAAACCCAAAACATTTGAACATTTTTCTAAGAAGTTTAAGTATTTGCTATTGACTGCTCAAATGCGGAGTTTTGTGCATCGTGCGTGTGTGTGTGCGTGTGTGCGTGCGTGCATGCGCGCCTGTGTGTGTGAGAGAGAGAGCGAGAGAGACCAGCTTCATCACTGTGGTTTCACCAAATACACAAAATAATGATCTTTAAAAAAGCATCATATGACCCCTTTAATATTCAGCAAAGACTCATTAAACCAAAAGTGACAGTAAAGACATTCATAATGTTACAGAAGAGTTCTATTTCAAATAATAGATGTTCTTTTGAACTTTTTATTCATCAAAGAATCCTGAAAAGCAGCAAATCAGCATATTAGAATGATCATTTGGATCATGTGACCTAAACACTGAAGTAATGATGCTGAAAATACAGCTTTGCATCACAGAAATAAAATACACTTTAAAATGTATTCAAATAAAAACCACTTATTTTAAATTGCAATAATATTTCACAATTTTACTGTTATTACTGTATTTTTTAAAGGGGTCATATGATGCTTTTTTAAAGCTCATTATTTGGTGTATTTGGTGTAACATAATATGTTGACATGCTTTAATGTTAAAAAAACACATTCTTTTTCAAATACTGTACATTATTGTAGGTCCTCTATGCCCCGCCTCTCTCAAACGCTTCGTTTTCTACAAAGTCCCTCCTTCCGACAAGCGCAGTCTGCTCTGATTGGCCAGCTGACCCAGTGCATTGTGATTGGCCGAACACCGCAAGCACTCGTCGGAAATGTAACGCCCCTTACCATAATCGCGAGCTTCATCTTTCAAAATAAATGTAAAGACAGCCCGAAAGGGGAACAGAGTCGCGTGACAGACACAGTGATGAAGCTGGTATGTGTTTGCAGTACACAAGCCATGGTTAAGACAGCTGACTCCACTGGGATGTGACCCTGTCTCTCTCTCTCTCTCTCACACACACAGGCCCGCGTGCGCATGCACGCACGCACACACACACACACACGATGCGCAAAACTCCACATTTGAACAGTCAATAGCAAATACTT